TAGCAAGCGGAAATATATCTAGTATTGATCATTCTAGTACAAAGGATATCTGCAGTACATTTGACTTTCGAAAACAAGACTAGGGGGGTCCTAGTGTCCCGTGGTAAGACTTGCTGTCTATCGTGCTGTTGCTGCGCCTAGGAATTGTTCACCCGATGCTAGGTAGGAAGCGCGCCCATGTGTCGATGTAAAGCCGTTCGTCTTGCTTTCGGAAAGCCGCGAAGGCTAGAGCGAGTAGAGTTAGACGGGCTGTAGCGTAGAGAAACCCTGTGAGCAATGCGAATATGATGGACATGCTGTCTACCTTGTTCACTAAGAGTATCCACTGTCTATGGAAGTTTACCATTGTCCCACGTGAATTGTTGACGATTCCGAGAACCTGCGGTATCGTATCTTTCAACAGATTTGACTCATCGACTGATGCATTGGTACGTAACGGCAACGACACGTGACTGCGGACATCCTCTGGAGGATTGTCAAGTTGAAGTTCGTATACAACGTCGTGCGTGAAGTAGTGGAATTGTGTTAGATGCGACTCACACCAGAGCCGGGACATTTGGCCCTTTTCCACGCCATTCTTCACCTCAATGAGAGGTCCAATACATCGGAGAATAGCCTGAAAGAGCGTCAGTCATTCCTCGCAATTCGGATCGATTTGTGGGTTGATAAATTACGTAGAAGACGACGTACCCAGCACACTTGCTCGTAGGATTTACCTTCCACATAAAAATGGTCATCTTTCAACCAGACCTTGATAGGTATCGAGTTTGTGCGCCGATCAGACTCGGAAGTTGGTCCGCTAGGAGTTACCATGAGAGACTTTATGGCGGTTATGACTTTGTGAGCTTTCCTCCCCATTATGACGTTGGACGCAAATAAGGCAAGCAAATTAGTCAGAGGTAATGTAGACGACAACACACTTGAAACTTGCCAAAGTCTCCTCTCGACCTGACTTTGGAAGTAAGTTTCCCAGGCAGCGCAGTGAATGGCACCAAAACATATTGTAGAGACTGCCAGTGCATACGTCAATGTAAGATGTTGCGTTCCGTGAGCCTGGAGTCTCAGCATGTCGTTTCTTATGCGCGCCATTCCATCTGTGGGGCCATGCTGACCAGTCGGTACGACTGTTCGTGCGAAAAAGGACTCGCCGCACAGGTCGAGTAGATCCTTATTGCCGATGTCTGCATAGTTTCCGTGTAAGAGGGCGGGGACGTCAACATCTTTCGGTTTCTCGAGATTCGCTACGTAAGTAGCTACAGAAAGGGTAGCAAATGCTACAGTGCAGACTTCCAAGAGGCTGATTGGTAGGCCATATATCTTTCGTGTTATGACGGATAAGATCAGCCACAAGATCTGAAGCGCTGCGACCGCCTTCAAAAGATTATCTGCCTTGGACTTGTCCAGAATCTCTTCTTGAGTGGGCCAGGTTTCATTGAGAAGGTTTTCATCGAGAAGGTTTTGTGTGTTTGGAACACAGAACATTACCAAGGCATGCGCCGTGACTGGCAAGTACTGATCGTTATCATCGGAGGACGCTTTAAAAACCATACCGCCCATGTTGGCGAAATAGCAATGGGTCAGAGTCCACCTCTTTCTCAAATTACTGGTTCCTGGAGCGGTAACGGCAGGTGGTGGTCTCGACGATGATGTTCTGTGGGGATGAAATAGCCAATAGAGTATCTGACAACCGCGACCGTATTCCACCTCCCATCCGAGAAGCCCTTCGTGGTTCTTGAGTTCACGTAGGTCCTCGACGGCCATTTGTAGCTCACAAACTGCTTTCGCGAATATGAACTCGGGGAAGATGATTGTAACTGCCATCCATTTGGTCTTCCGCAAGATCTTCCTCCATTTACCGTCCTCAATATAGGGAACATTGAGGTGAAGAATGGTCCAAGTACAGGCGAAAACGGTGGTCAAGCAGCTCCAAAGGATCGTCAAAGTACCGCGCTCTGCTGGACCTTCGTGCCATCCCGTGAATGTCGTGGTCCCGTATTCTGAGATTGTAGTATTGTTCGAACCTTCGACCAGGCTGAGCAAGAAGATGAGTGCGCAAACGACGCGCAAGGCTGAAGGAAGTGGCGTCTTCATCTCGAAGTCCCGAGGTCGCAAAGACACACAAGTGACGAGGGAGACTAGAAATCGCTAGGGCAGAAACTGCGCTAAGTATCAAAGAGTGGTAATTTGTGAGGGGAAATGGAGAATCAGGCAGAGACGAAAGAACGGGGAGAGTGCGCTTATCACCATGCTGCGGCCTTCCAGCTGAACTGCAAGATACAAGGCTGAGCGAACGCCATCTTTTGATACTCTGGCCCATATGCGGTGAGAAAGGCAACCATTGGCTCAGACATACTCCCACGAAGCCAATTACAGTCAAGAATCATCCGAGGTTGTGCTCCTCGAATGCGTGGCTGCTTGATGATCTAAGTAATGATTCGAACGGTGAAGATGCAGCCTTCTAGAGTGAGCCCATGCCTACCTAGGTAGGTATGTACCCCTCCTGCGAAGCATAGAGCGCGCCTTCGACTCAAACTGGGGCCTGGTCTTGTCTCGGGCTGAGTGTTAAGCTGTACTTAGTATATGGTACGAGTGCGATAGCTTTGAGGTTGCTCCAGATGTCGTTTCCGAGGTCATCCTTGATCCGATTTCTGCCCAGGTGGGGTGCCTACCTAGACCCCACATCATCACGAGGGCATGACAGGCTCTGTTCCGCTTGCCGCCCGCACAGATGGATACTTTCTCCTGTGGATGAGTGATGGGAATTATCTCACCCTCGAGTGCCAACAAAAAATGACTTCAGTATATATATAGTGGTTTTCAACATTTTCGCATAACCAAGCACGACTTCGATCCGAAGTATTCTCCCCGTAGCTCAGTTGGTTTAGAGCGTCTGACTGTAATATCTGCTGTTATCAGAAGGTCCCTTGTTCGACTCATGGTGGGGAGATCAGACATCTTTTTTTTTGCTCCTTTGTGGGCATCTTCGCGTTGCCTCTCAGTGTCGCGATGGCCCGGCTTACGTCACTAGCTTGACTCGCAAACCTGGGCTTCAATACGGCACACCTCAGATTGCCAGAACGTGAAGCATCATGTGGCCCAAACGCCCTGGGCCATGCATTCGAAATGGCTTCGAAAGCCCCACGTCGAACCACCACTCGCGACCTTTTTTGTCCCTCCTTGCCAGCTGAGGTGTGGATCAACGTCTTTCGCTATCACACCGACCTCGCGCACCTCTGGAATGTCGTGCGACGCGTCTCCCCCACCCTCCGCGCCTGCGTCGAGCACGCATTCGGCGAGCACTTCCTCAAAGACATACACATAGACTTTCAGCTCGAGAAATACAACCTGGGCGGGAAGAGCAAGAGGCCAGAGGTGTCCACGCGGCTCGCGCGACGCGGCAAAGGCAAAGACAAGCTCACAGCCTGGTTCAAAGATGAGCGACCAGATCCTGGCTCAGACAAAGCATCGGGGAAGAAGGAACGCGAGCATTACCACAAAGTAACGCGCCGCTGGGAAGAAAACGTCAAGAACTGGAAAGCCGAAATGCCAAACTACACAATCAGCATCGGAGACCTAGTAAACGACACCGAACTACCCGACCTCACGATCGACGTCGCAGCGCGCGAAATAAACTTCGACTGGAAGAACATGCTCCAGCTCTTCTTCCGCGAACAAGAACGCCTCCGCGTCCTCAAAGACGAATGGCACATCAAAACAGCCAAGAAGATCCAAGCGAACAACGCGCGCCTCAAGAAGGGCGAGAAGCTCATGCCTTCGGATTACCCGCCGCCGTGGTCGACTGCCGAAGCAGAGATAAGGAAGGATATCAGGCGCGCGAGGTTGAAGGAACATTATCGCGACGATGAGCAGATGGTGTGGGCGATCGACTCGTTGAAGCATTTTGAACAATACGGGGCGGCGGCTGGTAGTGCAAAGGCGCTCAAGCTTAACCCCGATCTGCCGGGTGCTGGGCTGGGTGAGAAGTGGTTTGGTAGTGTGAATCTGGTGCAGGAACTCTATCTCGATGAGTGGAGTTGTATGCATCGGATTGATACCAAGGTCGAACATATTCGGAATGGGACATGAGGGACGGCGATACAGTCTCCTTGTGAGGAGCATTGGTACATCGGTACATCGGGTTGGAACGATCAACAGCTCGATGACCGTCCTCCGGGGCAGCCGAAATAGGCGTCACTGTTACGATACGATTGAGCCACTTGCGAGACCGCAGGATGTCCGGGGTGTTGTGACATGACCGATTTGCGACTGCTCAATGAATTTGGTCAAATACACGATACTTTCGTTGTGGCACTCGCAAGTCCGTCACCCCGGACATTCTGAGGACATCTACAAGTTCACGCATGCACCGGCATGGTATACTCGACAAAGATGCAATACCACGCTGGCACAATGTCTTTGCGACTGAAGACCTCGCCGTGTCCGGTGTGAACTGGCGAGTCTGTCGACTGTCCATACATCTACTAGAGACCCATACGCATACGTGTCTCAAACCACAGTAGCATTCGTAACCCGCTAGACATAATTTTTCCATGGAGTTGTCGAAAAAAGCTCTTTAGGTAGGGTGCTTCGAGGATCAAGAGATCATAGGCTCAGTATAGTCGCTATGCTATGGTAACAATACTAAGCATATAATCTCTTTCAAACCTCAAAGCAAATCATCTAAAGATGGTTCTTTTGATAATCACATGAGCATTCTGTTGATACGCAAGCGTATTCATGATCTACGATCACGGTGACAGGAGTTGTTCATAACATATTGAAATCGACAAACGCCAGCCATGGCACCTTGCCGTTCCTCGACTGCGCCCAGCATCTCATAATCCCAAAAGCATAAGATCACCACACACTTCAACATCCAACATCTCAAGGGCACCGCCCTAGAAAGCCATCTCGATAACAACACCTCAGCAATCTACACGCCGTCATCAGCAAACACTCGCACCACATCCTAAGACAGAGCACATACCAATCCGCCCATTCTACTTCGCCTCCGCATCCACATGCGCATCCGCGCCAGCACTAGCGACAGAAGCAGTAGGAACAGCAGTAGCAGTAGCGCTAGCCTTAGCCAGCAACGACGCCCTGATACTCTCCATAGCCTGTGCGCGCTTACAGAAAGGAGCGCCACAGTTAGGGTCCGGCGCGCCGCCTTCTCCGGCCATGGTGAGGGAGGCGAGGGCGCCTAGGGTGATGAGGAGGGGGGTGGTGATGTGCATCGTTTTCTTTGTGGGGATGTGAGGTTCGAGGTAGTAATATGGGTTGGTTGTGAGGTCCGAGGTAGTGGGTATTGGCCAGTTGTCTGAGGTTGGTCAGATGGAGTTGGTTAAAGGGGGTTGGATATGTCAGAGTTATTGTGCAGGTGTAGAGTGGAGGGAGAGAGAAGAGGTTAGGGGAGGTTTTGTACATATATATATATATATAACGAGTGCGTCACGACGGGAGAGCGGATTTAGCTGCGTCACTAAGTGAGTTGTAACCTGTGATGCGTACAGCAACCCATCTATTCGAAGCTATGGGCAGTCACAGCTGCGGTGGAGGTTCGCTGCGTGGCAAATTGGAAGCATTTGACCCATGAAGCCAGGAATGTGACGTGCCGTGACGCATAACTTGCTCAGGTCCTTTTGGCTGGGTCTCGCAGTCCACTATAACTCGCTGACATTGCAGTGGAATTCACAGAGCCGTATGACGTGCTTTCATTCGAGTGGGTGAGAAGGCACGACGAGTATGGGGGTCGGGCGCTTCGACAGGCTGGTTGAGGTGAGCGTTTGCTGCGAGTACGTAGCCCATCACGTTGACAAATTCGACAGTGAGAGGCCGAAAGCTCTGATGATTACTGTTATGGTTATTGCTTACGTAGAATGCGACAAGAAAACGCATGTGATATACTACTAATGGATAAAGCTCTCCCAATCCATCTCTTTCGGCTCGTCGTCTGAATCCGGCGCAGGAACTCGAGTGCTACGAGGCTCAACGGACCGCACAGGCTGATCCATTTCTATGTCGGTGCTTACTTCGCTCGATCCTACGCTAGGAGTCGGTTTCCTGTTGTCTTCAATAGACTGCGCCGGCCGTTGCGACCCCGAATCACTGCTATCACTCGAATCATCGCTTGATTCTGAGGTGGGAACTTCCACCCTAGTATCGTCGATGGGGGGTCGAGGTAGACCATGGTCTTGTGCATTGTCATCACTTGTATCCTCGTCTTGGGAGCTAAATTCGCTTGGAGACCCAACAGGCTTTGAGCTTTGACCTTGAAGCGCAGCATAAGCGTGGGTACCGCGGGTCTGTAGCTCAACCGTTTGCTGCATAGACGGCTTGCTCCGATGCCCCGGCTTTTGCGTTGGTGCCTCGGTATCATCTTCGGAACTAGACTCGGCAGTGTCTGAGCTGTGCCCTTGAAGGATGGGTGGCACATCAAGAGGCTTCTGGTTTGCAAGAAAGGCAGTCTCAGGCGGTGGAGTGTCGAGCTCCTCCCATTCGGTACGCCAGGGTGTCCAGGAGCGCCAACCGTCGGGGAGTGTTGTAATCTTTTCGCCTTCTTCTGGATCATCCTCGTCGCTCTCTTCGCCGATATTGGCTTCTTCAAGTTTGACGGTTGGCTCAAGATCCAGCATATCCCAAAGGGCATGCTCCTCCCTTCGACTGAACTCTCGATCGAACTCACCCAGGGTTAACTTGCGGGGTCCAGGCTTCTCAGGTACGATGTCAGCAGGTGGATTCGTGGGCTGATCCGCAATATCCCTCCACTGAGACGCACTTCGCGAAGGGTGTTCGCTTTCTCCTACAAGTGATTCTTCATCTGAATCCGACAGAGCGAGTTGATCAAAGGGAAGTGGCGTCCCGCTCCGCTTGGCTCTTGCACTGAAATCGGGAGTCTCGTTGCCAGATGTTTCTGCGTCTGTCGTTTGAGGCTCTATCGATGGCTCCGCTGGGGTCATAATTTGCTCGACCTCATCCCAGGGCACCTCTCGTTTGGTATTGTTGCGTCGGTAACGGGACCATTTGCCTTCGTATACTCTCAGCGCACATCGTCGGGCTACTCCCTTCCATCTCTCTTGACCGTTCTGCTGCATCCCCACGATATCGATGGCGGTCAGAACATCCCTTTTCTTTACTAGAGGAATACCGCCTTTCACACGGTGCCTTTGTGATCGAAGACGCGAAGTAGCCTGTATGAGAGCCGTCTGGACGAGTCGCTTGGTGACGGAGAGAACAAGTGTGTGGAAGTCGTTGAAGGCGGTCCGGTATATGCTTGGTTCTCGAGCCAGCTCCGAGGTGTATTCGGACCAATGTGGCCAAGGGGATGGTATCGTAGGCGAGCGGTTCATGAAGACGGTCTTGGAGAGAGTGAGCATGACCTGTGGGTGTAATAGAGTGGCTTCTGGAATATCTTCGAGGATGCCGTGCTTTCTCTTGGGCGCTTTCTTGTCAGATTGTTCGCCTGCCTCTGGTTTGAGAGATTGTTCGGGATAGATGCATTCGCCCGTATTTCGTCGAACGCAGTTGGCGCATGGTGTTGCTCGATCGCACTTTTGCTTGAACTTCTTGCATGAAATACATGCTCTGTGATATGTCAGCATGTTGTTGCTTAGTGTTGGTAGGCCTTGCATACCCTACGACAACTCTTCCGCCTCTTCGTGACGGTTCCGGCTCGCTGGCGGGCGGTGATGTGGTCGCTCGGTCACGACCAGTGTCGTGCGCGCTCTCAATCTTGTCAGCTACAGCAGGCGTGATCAGCCAGTAGTCGCCGAATCTCTCTCGCTCCTGGCTAGCCTCAAAGACGTCCTGCATCCACGCCAGGGCTTCACCCGCAAGATCCAGCTGCTCGTTGCACTCGTCGCCCACGTCGATGGCAGCAGGGACGTCGCGGAGTGTCACCTTAGCATCGCCCTGCCTAGTAGCAGCATCTTGAAGTAACAATAGCAGCTCCTGCGTCTCTGGTATGCTCTTGGTGCCGATCGCTCTTGCTATGCCGGGGATGTCGTCCCTTCCCAATCGCTCAAGCGCCGCGAAGAAGACAGCCTGTTCCTGTGCTGACCAATATGAAGCGCCGATTTGTCTGTTGTAGTACTGGAAGCTCTCGGCATCCGTCTCGAAGCGCGCAGCAGCCCGAGTCACGTCCTCGTTGAAGAGCACGCGGTAGGCGTCGTTGTACTTTCCCTCAAGGTAGTATTTGCGCACGCGGGCAGGATCGATCGACTCTAGACGACGGCGCTTGCGTGGCGTGTGCGACGTAGACGACTGGCGGCGCGATGTTGGTCGTGTAGGCGGTCGCGAACTCTCATCGCTGGAATCCTCTGACGGTTCGGAATGCTTGTAGTCGGATGCGGAACTCATGGCGGATGCGAGAGGGCAGGCGCGACCTCAGTATCGCCGTGGAAGATATGCTGAGTCACGTCATGTGGTTGTGCGCGTATAGCGGCCATGGTGGGCGGTGATGGTCGCAGTGTCCCAAGGTTGGTGAAGAGCGCGGAAACATTTTGGTGGGGCCAGGCCTCGGCGTACCGCGTCTTGGTAGCATGGACCTGCGTCATGCATCGTGACTTGGCGACATCTTCGCTCCCACTTTGTCCTGGCACGTGTCTTGATGTTCCGCTTCGCCCAGCATGCGCTGAGGAACTGCACGCGAATGGGCTACCAGCCTGTTTGCGCAACCACGAGATATGCTTCAAGAAGGGCCAAGAGCCCCAGGGCCGTGGTCCCCAGTCCGCCCCCAGCTCCTCCGCCTCCACCGCCGCTGAAGATCCAGCTGCGCGAGTACCAGGAAGACTGCATACAAGCTGTGCTGTCCTACCTCGATGCCGGCCACAAACGCCTCGGGGTCTCTCTGGCGACGGGTTCCGGCAAGACTGTCATCTTCACCCACCTCATCGACCGCATAGCCGCCACTGGCGACGCTTCCCAGACGCTCATCCTCGCCCACCGCCGCGAACTCGTTGAACAAGCTGCACGCCACTGCAGCCTTGCATACCCCGATAAACATGTAGACATCGAGATGGGCAACAACCAGGCCTCTGGTGCTGCCGACATCACTGTCGCCTCTATACAGAGCATCACGTCGGGTGGGCGGTTGGACAAGTTCGACCCTTCGCGCTATAAGCTTGTACTGGTGGACGAGGCACATCACATTGTCAGCCAGACATACCTGGACGTCTTGGAGCATTTCGGTCTGAGACATGCGACTGACTGGACCAAGTCAAACGCTCCTGCCCTCGTCGGCGTGTCGGCCACCTTTTCGCGCTTCGACGGAAGGAAGCTGGGAGCTGTCATTGACCACATCGTCTATCATCGGTATGGCATCAGCTTTCCTGATTATAGACCCATACTGACATATCTAGTGACTATGTAGATATGATCGATGAGAACTGGCTTTCCGATGTCATCTTTACAACAGTCGAGATCAAGGCCGATTTGACCAAAGTGGGCACTGGCGCTGGCGGCGACTTCCAAACCGGCGCACTCTCTACAGTCATCAACACTGCGGAGACTAACGAGCTCGTCGTCAAAACCTGGCTAGCAAAGGCAAGGGACCGACACTCGACCCTCATATTCTGCGTCGACCTCAGCCATGTCACCGACTTGACCGCTAGGTTCCGGACGTCCGGAATCGATGCCCAATATGTCACCGGTGACACACCTCCCAAAATCCGCAGTGCACGTATAGACGCTTTCAGGAATGGCGATCTTCCGGTGCTGCTAAACTGCGGTGTCTTCACTGAGGGGACGGATATTCCAAATATCGACTGCGTGCTGCTAGCTCGCCCCACCAAGTCTCGTAATCTCCTCGTCCAGATGATCGGACGTGGCATGCGGTTACATAAGGACAAGCAGAATTGTCACATCATCGACATGGTTGCGGCACTTAGCACCGGAGTAGTGTCAACGCCTACGTTGTTCGGCCTCGACCCAGGCGAGATCGTCGAACAAGCAGACACTAAAAGCTTGACGAAGCTTAAAGAAAAGAAGCTTTCCGACAAGCAACGCGAACAGGAAGCTTCCGAGCTTAGGAAGAAAACTGTCGCTAAGAAGTTACCCGGAACCGTCTCCTTCACTGAGTACGACTCCGTGCATGATCTTATAGCCGATACGTCCGCCGATCAATACATACGCAATATTAGCCAGAACGTTTGGGTTGCCGTTGGCGACGGAAAATACGTTCTCAGTGGCAATACTGGCAACTACTTAGTAATTGAACCATCCGGAGATGTCGAAGGTCGTTTTATCGCCAAGTACCACTGGAAGTTGCCGGCTGATAAAATCGTCAACAGTCCCTGGGGTAGAGCGCGTGTCATCGCCGAAGGTGACTCATTCGACCATGTTGTTCACGCGGCAGACACATATGCCATTGACGCTTTCCAACACTTCTACATCTCAAAGCATCAAGCATGGCGTAAGGGTCGTGCGTCGCAAGCTCAGGTCGACTTTCTAAACAAATTCCGCCCCAAAGAAGATCACTTGAAGCCGGAAGACGTGAGCAAGGGCAAGGCGGGTGATATGATCACCCGCCTCAAACATGGAATGAAAAGTCGATATGACAAAGCGGGCGTGAAAGAAAGGACTGAACAGCGCAAGA